AGCACTTATTTTTTTCTTTTATACAGGAAATTTTTTTGTTAGATGGCAGCTGTGAAGTGGTAATTTCTTTTTGAAATTCTTTCAATATTGTATTACGTTCTTCTTCCGTCCAACGTCTTCGTTTTGTTATACCAAATGGAGATGCTACAAAATAAATTAATTATCTATGAATCAGAATAAATATTTCTATATAAAAAGCAATAATTTACCTAAATTTTATTTAAATGTATTTTTATTTAAATTACTAGTAGAATAAAATTACTTTAAAATTCTCTTCAGAGTACTGACAAACTTTCATTAATAAGAAAATATTAAAATTATAACGTCATAATTATAAGAATAAAAAGAAATAGAAATGCAAAAATAAAATAATATAAAATAATATAAAATAATATAAAATAATATAAAAAATACAAATAATATAAATAAATATATAACTAAATTAAGCTAATGTGTGTGGAACCTTTATCATTTATCATTATTATTTTTTAATTAAATATTGTTATTATGTACATTAAAATTCTATCAAAAAATGCATTATAAATAAAAGCTTAATATATTAATATACTTTGACATAGTCACATGAAAATATAATACTAAATAATATTTAAAAGAAAATCCACTCTGACTTGATAAGTTTATAAAAACTGAATACAATATGTGAAAATGAGAAAATAAACTTACTACTGCCACGTTTCTTTATCTTTGGGGAATAAGTTTCGTCAGAATCATTGTCATTATTCACTATAGTATGGTTTTGATGCACGATTTTCTTTTTTACAGATTTTTGTTGTTCATCTGTTACGCTAAGAAATTTCGGTAATTTCCTTTCTGTTCGTAATAAAGAAGGCTTACGTGAACTTATCATACATGTTTCGGCATCGTTTTCCGATTCTGCACTCGAAGTATCTTTGTTTGTTTCTTGCATCTCTTCCTCTTCTGTTAATAATAACACAATATTATGATAATTATTATATATGTATATATATATGTAACCAATTCTTGAAACTAAGGGCTAATATATGCTACAACCGCGGACGTCGATGCATAAAAATTGAGTAAAGCAGAATGAACACAATAATGAAACGTATTCTCAATTTGAATCCATTTCAATGAATATATCATATTCATACTTTGATTTAATAGGTTCCAAACGTAACGTTTCATTGTTGCATTCATTATTACTACTTTTATTTCTACACAGACATCCATGATCGTGGCACACATTAGCCTTAATTTCATAAGTTTTGGTTTATACGGACTTTTGTCTGATTTTTTCTTCTAATTAAATAGATATATTAAGAATGCAGAAAAGTTTAAAAAAGGAATACAATAATTAATATATTTTATACAAAAATTAATATATAAAAAGTACTTGTGGCATATATATAATAAGATAAATAGTGTATATACCTGAATCACTATTATTAGATTGCTGTTGCTCATTTTCACCTAATGCTGCTTCAAGAAATTTCGTCATACGAACTATCTCTACAGCTGCTATTGACTGTCGATAATGGCGTTTATGAATTTTCTCGTGATGTCCCATAAAGTTCGCCAAATCATCCACTTCATTGTCAGATAAATTTAACGTAATGCATGTTGTAGCAATATGTTTACGTAATTCAGTACCTCTTAAAAAATGTGGTATTTGTGCATCACATTTTTTAGAAAAATATCGCATAAGGATACACGCTCTTAAATATTTGAAATGACGTTTGGTACTACTAGGTATGCCAAACACATACGGATTTTTCTCAGGAACATTTGCATCCTTTCGCTGGTTCAAAATTAGTTCAACACATTGAACTAATACCATGTCTAAAATCACAGGCACTGTACGTCCCAATTTTCCACGAATTAAGAATCTTACGTATTTATCAGCAACCTATATACAAAAGTTATATATGGATTATTATTTTGCATCATATACCATATTGTGTGTAATTTAATTATAATATTTGTAAACAAATAATATTTATACATAATATTTATAAATAAATTTATCATATTTAATACTTTGTGTAACATCATCTTTCCTCAAAACTGGGAATAAAAATTTTCTTACTGTCTCAATTGCACATTCATGAATTCTGCCCATCAAAGCACGTCCTAAAACTTGTACATTTCTGCCTTTCGATTTTCCTACACATTCTTTAAAATGATGCCTGATATTATTTTTAGTGAACCATCCTTTACACTTTGCGCAACTTATAAAATCTTGTACTGTTTTGCAACTATTTTTGGCAGGCCTTCGACAAACAATTAATTCTCCCGTATTTAAGAAAGGATCCGTATTATGTATGAAATTCCTTTTTTTTCTAATAGACTCTATAATTTGTTTTCTTTCTAAATTACCTGCAATGAGAATATTAAGTAATGTATATATAATGTAAATAATGTATATATAATGTAAATAATGTATATATAATGTAAATATATTAATAAAAATTATAACATATTAATATATTATATTTAACAAATAATCAATATTTATAAAAAAATATACTATAAACTTAAATAATTATACAGAATTGAAAAATATGATCACCTTTTGGTAATAATACAAATTTCTTTACTTCAGGTTCCAATTTATGCACGTTTTCTAAATGACGTGCAATTTTACTCTGAAACTTTTTGCAATAGTAGCAAAAATTTTTTTTTTGATGTCCCTTAGGTTGAGAAAATGGAACATATAAATTGTCTTCTCTACAACCAAATGTATTGATAGAAGAAAGATCTATCAGTGATTCTGAAGAATTTTTATCATTAGTTGCAGATACTTTATTGCGGAAGCTTTCATGTTCCGTAATTTCTTTGTCAATTGTAATTTCCAATGCTGAAGGTACATATTCCAAAATACTTGATGAGTTTGCAGAAGCAATATTGTCATTAATATCATCACGGGAAATCATATTATTATCACTATCATTACTTAATGTGTTTGCACAAGCAATGTTGTCATTAATATTTTCATCATCACAGGAAATCATATTATTATCACTATTATTATAATTTATAGAAGCTTTGGCGTTAGTGAGATCATTTAACATAATAGAATTATTATCATCATTAAAAAAATATATCATGACATCTTTGAGAACAATACCCGTTTCAGACACATTGAAATTATCATTATCACAGGAAAATGTAAGATTATTATTATGAGAATTATTACTGTTCATAAAATTAATATCAATATCAGTATTTACATAACAGTTATCATCATCACAAGAAAGTATCACATTATCAAAATCAGTATCATTTGCAGAATTGTTAGCATTAATAGTACTATCTACTACATTATGATTTCTGTCATTACAGGAAAATGTAATGTTAAGTTTAGTAGCTTTTACTCTATTCTGCTCATTATTAGACTCACTAGGAATTATCATAGCATTATCACAACCAACATTTTTCTTAGAATTATTAGTTACACAATTTTCATCATTTATTGCAGTGTGATCATGTTCATTAGAAAATGTCCCGTTGTTATCAAAATCAGTACTATTCGCAGAATTATTGTCATTAATATTTTCTACAATGCTATCATTTCCATTATTATCGGCATTATTATTTGTAAAATTATCAGTATTACCAATAATTTTCGTTTTAAATCCGTTATTAGAATCAACGTGTTTTATAAGATAATTGATGTTACTTTGATCATTTGCATTGTGGCCTTGTTCATTATAAAGAAATGATACTACATTATTGTCAAAATCAATAGCATTACTTAAATTGTTAGTATTAGTATTCTTTTTAGTATAATTCATATTGATAATGCAAGCATCTTGTGGTATTTCTGTAGTTTCTACAAAAAAAGTATAATTACTGTAAAAAATAGAAATGCAATATATTGCATGTAGTTTTAGAATTATAATACTATAATACTTACTATTATTATTATTGACAATTAATTTTATGTTTTCCAGAGCAATACGTGGATTATTTGTATTTAAACTTTTAGCAATTGCAAGAATATCATTTTTATTTTCTGTAACAATAAATATAGTAATTTCAATTATTTATATATAAATAACCACAGAAATTAACGCGTTGATGCAAGAATTTAACTGAAAAGAAAATTAAAAAGCAGTGCTGAGTAAAAACTTTAGATTTTTACGACTTAAGTTAATATTAACCTGTTAAAAATCGAATAAAAAGGTTACGTGCTGTTGTGCTCAATATTAACAATATTATTGCAATGTAAACATTTTATATTATTTTAAATAAATATAGAATGGTGATACTTACTATTCTGTGCAATTGTACGTATAATACATGTTTTTTTACGATTCCTAACTGGACATTTTACGCGTCTTCTCTTGTGTTTTATATTTACATGATATTTATGATAATTACAAAAAAATAATATATATTGTGACATTTTTCACTTAATGTGATGCAATCGCGTACAAACGAAACGAAACGATTTTCATTAAATGTAAACCGAAATCTTATATATATTACGCAATATCTTATGCAATATTGCTAATAAATATGGAAGGTGCCGGTCCCGCCAAATTATAAGTTTGTTCGCATAGCAGGCTCTCCCCCAACATACTTCTCGCTCCAATGCGATCCTATTGGATTATTTGGATATAAAGATGCTTTTATATGATAGCATCAAACGTGTCGGCGTAAAAACTCATTGCGCAAATGTTAAATAAAATAGATTTCAGCTTCTTGCTGCTAATAATAAGATGAATCATACGAGATCATACGATGAATAAGTCGAGATCAAATGAATATTAGCACATATTAGTACTGAAAATTAATATAATATTAATTATAATCATTATATTTATTATATTTATTAATATTATTAGCCACAAGAAGTTATTTTTTATCTTATGTGACATCTGCGCAAACGTAGATGCTTGACGCTTGATGCTAGCATGTAAAGGCACCTTTATGGCTCCTGCACACCAGCGCGATGACGCGACACGCGATGCGCGATATCCAATGAGCGTGCAGCTTTTCCGCACGTCATATCCGTCGCACTATAGAGTGCGACATCGCAAAAAAGTTGACCAAGTTTGAAGATTTGTAGCGCGCGACGAGCGATTTACTGCGATCCTATCTATAGATGCGATGTCGTTATAAACAAAGAGGATCTCTTTGGTTATAAATAAACGTGCAACGACATCGATCCGAGAGTGATATTGTCATTAAATTATAAAATTGCAATAAATGGTAAATATGCAATAAATGATGTTAGGTTTCGTAATCGCGCATCGCGTTTATATGAATAGGTAGAAAATCCTATTCTCGCGATTCGTCGCATATCGCGTGTCGCGTCATCGCGCTGGTGTTACTGAGACTGAGAGAGAGAGAGAGAGAGAGAGAGAGATTGCGGTGGAACGAGTTAAACAGTATTTAGATCATGTGCCGACTGAAAATACAATGGGCACTAATCAACCTTACGCGTGGCCTAGTCAAAGTGTTGTGGAATTAAAAAAGTTGTTTTGATGTACAGGTAATATTTTCAAATTTTTTGATAAAGATAATGCACGATTGTAACATTTGGTAAAAGAAATTTTTGTAATTATATTCGCAGGAACCATTTAGTGCCATCGTTGAAAGAGATAACATTCGTTACTCGACCAGCGGAAAAAATAGACGTCGTTGGTCGCACCGGTGCTGGAAAAAGTTCGTTACTAGCTTCGTTGTTTAGACTGACAGAGATCAGTTCTGGGAGTATATTAATCGACAACGTGAATATTCAAACGTTACAACTGAACACATTAAGGTATTCATAAACTTGCAAAAAATAATCATTGTATGTTAACAGTTGTAAAGAAAAGAAAAACATTCCAGATCCCGTTTAGCAATTATACCTCAGAATCCGTTTCTTTTCTCGGGTACTAATCGAGAGAATGTGGATCCGTTGGATCAGTATACCTATATGCACATACATATATACAAAACCTTCGAGAAATGTAAAGTGCATTCTTTAGTTCATCGAATGGATGGTTTGGATGCAGTCTTGGATGAAGGTGGTAGTAATCTCAGCACTGGGCAGAGACAATTGTTCTGCTTAGTCAGAGCTGTGCTACACAATGCGAAGGTACTTCTTATCTGTAATATTCAAGAAAGCAATTGTTCCTGTATTAATGACTTGATATTTATTTATCTCTGTGAAATTAGTCTTTTTTTCTTACTTTCTCATTTGCTTTGCTTTTGAATAAAAAATTCTTAAGTACCTCAAATTGAAAAATTATCTTCGTAAATCCAATGTTTAATTATGGGTTCTATGTAATCCCTCATGGATTCTAACAATTATTATTAAGAAACTAGAACTAAGAGTGTAAACATTTTCTGCAATTCTTCTGAAGATAAATATTTCAAAATTAATTTAAATAATTTTTTTTAATTTGCATTTTTTTACATAATGGGAAATGTCGTTAAGTTATAATCTTTTAGGTATTCAAATTTTTAAAAATTTTTGTAATTATCATGTGATAAATATAAAACACAAGACGATACACATTAATTGTTCAGTTAATAGGAATTTTAAGAAAAACATGTATTATATGTATAATTGTACAGAATAGTATCATTATTATATATTTATTTAAAGTAATATAAAATGTTTTCATTGCAATAATATTGTACGTATTAAGTGCATACAACAGCACATAACATATTAATTTGATTTTTGGGAGGTTAATATTAATATAAATTGTAAAAATTCTAAAGTTTTTACACAGCGCTTTTTAATTTTCTTGTCAGTTAAATTCTTGCATCAATGCGTTAATTTCTGATTACTTATATTTAAATAATTAAAATTACTTTATTTTTATAGAAAGTAAAGACGATTTTTTGGATATTGTTAATAGTTTAAATACTTTAAATAGAAATAATCCACGCATTGTTCTGAGAGACATGATCACAAAGCTTAATATATTAATATACTTTGACATAGTCACAATTATAATACTAAATATAATACTAAATATAATACTAAAATATAATACTAAATATAATACTAAAATATAATACTAAATATAATACTAAAATATAATACTAAATATAATACTAAATAATATTAAAGAGAAAATTTACTCTGATTTGATAAATTTATAAAAACTGAATAGAATATGTGAAAATGAAAAAATAAACTTACTACTGCGATGTTTCTTTATCTTTGGGGAATAAGTTTCGTCAGAATCATTGTCATTATTCACTATTGTATGGTTTTGATGCATGATTTTCTTTTTTACAGATTTTTGTTGTCCATCTGTTATGGTAGGAAATTTAGGTAATTTCCTTTCTGTTCGTAATAAAGAAAGCTTACGTGAACTTATCATACATGTTTCGGCATCGTTTTCCGATTCTGCACTCGAAGTATCTTTGTTTGTACCTTAATTATTATATATGTATATATATGTGTAAACCAATTCTTGAAACTAAGGGCTAATATATGCTACAACCGCGGATGTCGATGCATAAAAATTGAGTAAAGCAGAATGAACACAATAATGAAACGTATTCTCAATTTGAATCCATTTCAATGAATATATCATATTCATACTTTGATTTAATAGGTTCCAAACGTAACGTTTCATTGTTGCATTAGCCTTAATATCATAAGTTTTGGTTAATAAGGACTTTTGTCTGATTTTTTCTTCTAATTAAATAGATATATTAAAAATGCAGAAAAGTTGAAAAAAGGCATACAATAATTAATATATTTTATACAAAAATTAATATATAAAAAGAACTTGTGGCATATATATAATAAGATAAATAGTGTATATACCTGAATCACTATTATTAGATTGCTGTTGCTCATTTTCATCTAATGCTGCTTCAAGAAATTTTGTCATACGAACTATCTCTATAGTTGCTATTGACTGCCGATAATGGCGTTTATGAATTTTCTCGTGATGTCCCATAATCTAATAATAGTGATTCAGGTATATACACTATTTATCTTATTATATATATGCCACAAGTTCTTTTTATATATTAATTTTTGTATAAAATATATTAATTATTGTATGCCTTTTTTCAACTTTTGTGCATTTTTAATATATCTATTTAATTAGAAGAAAAAAGTCCTTATAAACCAAAACTTATGAAATTAAGGCTAATGCAACAATGAAACGTTACGTTTGGAAATTATTAAATCAAAGTATGAATATGATATAACCATAAAGTTCGCCAAATCATCCACTTCATTGTCAGATAAATTTAACGTAATGCATGTGGTAGCAATATGTTTACGTAATTCAGTACCTCTTAAAGAATGTAGTATTTGTGCATCACATTTTTTAGAAAAATATCGCATAAGGATACACGCTCTTAAATATTTGAAATGGCGTTTGGTACTACTAGGTATGCCAAACAGATACGGATTTTTTTCAAAAACATTTGCATCTTTCGCTAGTTCAATATAAGTTCAATACATTGAACTAATTCCATGTCTAAAATCACAGGCACTGTACGTCCCAATTTCCTACGAATTAAGAATCTTACGTATTTATCAGCAACTATACAAAAGTTATATGTGGGTAATTATTTTGCATGTATATACCATATATATAATTTAATTACACGCACAAATAAAATTTATAAATAAATAATAGTAATAATAATTTTTAGCTGCTGTAATTTTGTGCCTAATGATTTATATAAATTTAAATGGGTCTTTTTCGTTATACCTTCGCGAGTATTAAAATCTTCAATAGTAACCCGTTCTATTTTTCCTGCTCTTCTATTAAAAACTTGCATTGATATAACTGTTGCAAGTTCTAGCCATGTTTCGTATTTAAATTTCTTCTGAAGTTTTGCATACAATAATTTTCTTTCGTTATTTAGATATGAGTGTAATTTTTTTATGTCTTCCATAGATGGAAAGACTTTTAGCTTACTTTTAGCTTAACTTTTCTAATAATTTTTAGCAATTGCCAGACAATCATTTTTATTTTCTGTAACAATAAATATAGTAATTTCAATTATTTGGATATAAATAATCAGAAATTAACGCGCTGATGTAAGAATTTAACTGAAAAGAAAATTAAAAAGCAGTGCTGAGTAAAAACTTCAGATTTTTACGACTCAAGTTAATATTAACCTGTTAAAAATCAAATAAAAAGGTTACGTGCTGTTGTGCTCAATATTAACAATATTATTGCAATGAAAACATTTTTTGCAACTATTTTTGGCAGGCCTTCGACAAACAATTAATTCTCCCGTATTTAAGGAAGGATCCGTATTGTGTATGAAATTCCCTTTCTTTCTAATAGACTATAATTTGTTTTCTTTCTAAATTACCTGCAATGAGAATATTAAATAATGTATATATATAATGTAAATATATTAATAAAAATTATAACATATTAATATTATATTTAAAAAATAATCAATATTTATAAAAAAAATATACTATAAACTTAAATAATTATACAGAATTGAAAAATATGATCACCTTTTGGTAATAATACAAATTTCTTTACTTCAGGTTCCAATTTATGCACGTTTTCTAAATGACGTGCAATTTTACTTTAAAACTTTTTGCAATAGTAGCAAAAACTTTTTTTTGATGTCCCTTAGGTTGAGAAAATGGAACATATAAATTGTCTTCTCTACAACCAAATGTATTGATAGAAGAAAGATCTATCAGTGATTCTGAAGAATTTTTATTATTAGTTGGAGATACGTTATTGCGGAAGCTTTCATGTTCCGTAGTTTTTTTGTCAATTGTAATTTCCGATGCTGAAGGTAGATATTCCGAAGTACTTGATGTGTTTGCAGAAGCAATATTGTCATTAATATCATCACGGGAAATCATATTATTATAACTATCATTACTTAATGTGTTTGCACAAGCAATGTTGTCGTTAATATTTTCATCATCACAGGAAATCATATTGTTATCACTATTATTATAATTTATAGAAGCTTTGGCGTTAGTGAGATCATTTAAGATACTAGAATTATAATCATCGTTAAAAGGAAATATCATGACATCTTTGAGAACAATACCCGTTTCAGACACATTGAAATTGTCATTATCACTGGAAAATGTCAGATTATTATTATGATAATTATTACTGTTCATAAAATTAATATCAATATCAGTATTTACATGACAGTTATTGTCATCATCACAAGAAAATATCACATTATTATCAAACTCACAGTTATTCTTAGAATTATTAGCATTAATGTTATTATTATTGCACAAAAGTGATATATCAATATTAGAATCATTATCATTCGTAGAATTATTGATACTGATATTACTATCTACCGTTTTACAACCATTACTATTATCACAAAAAGATATCACATTATTAAAATCAATATCATTTGCAGAATTGTTAGCATTAATAGTACTATCTACTACATTATGATTTCTATCATTACAGGAAAATGTAATGTTAAGTTTAGTAGCCTTTACTCTATTCTGCTCATTATTAGACTCATTAGAAATTATCATAGCATTATCACAACCAACAATTTTGTTAGAATTATTAGTGACGCAACCTTCATCATTTATTGCATTGTGATCATGTTCATTAGAACATGATGTTCAATATTAAAATCAGTATCATTTGCAGAATTATTGTCACTAATGATTATCATACATTATGTTATCATTTCACATTATTATCGGCATTATTATTTGTAAAATTATCAGTATTACCAATAATTATCGTTTTAAATCCGTTATTAGAATCAACGTGTTTTATAAGATAATTGATGTTACTTTGATCATTTGCATTGTGGCCTTGTCCATTATAAAGAAATGATACTACATTATTGTCAAAATCAATAGCATTATATAAATTGTTAGTATTAGTATTCTTTTTAGTATAATTCATATTGATAATGCAAGCATCTTGTGGTATTTCTGTAGTTTCTACAAAAAAAGTATAATTACTGTAAAAAATAGAAATGCAATATATTGCATGTAGTTTTAGAATTATAATACTGTAATACTTACTATTATTATTATTGACAATTAATTTTATGTTTTTCAGAGCAATACGTGGATTATTTGTATTTAAACTTTTAGCAATTGCAAGAAGATCATTTTTATTTTCTGTAACAATAAATATAGTAATTTCAATTATTTATATATAAATAACCAGAGAATTAACGCGTTGATGCAAGAATTTAACTGAAAAGAAAATTAAAAAGCAGTGCTAAGTAAAAACTTTAGATTTTTACGACTTAAGTTAATATTAACCTGTTAAAAATCGAATAAAAAGGTTACGTGCTGTTGTGCTCAATATTAACAATATTATTGCAATGAAAACATTTTATATTATTTTAAATAAATATAGAATGGTGATACTTACTATTCTGTGCAATTGTACGTATAATACATGTTTTTTTACGATTCCTAACTGGACATTTTACGCGTCTTCTCTTGTGTTTTATATTTACATGATATTTATGATAATTACAAAAAAATAATATATATCGTGACATTTTTCACTTAATGTGATGCAATCGCGTACAAACGAAACGAAACGATTTTCATTAAATGTAAACCGAAATCTTATATATATTACGCAATTTCTTAT